TATATTTCAGAAAATGCCACAAAAGATAACATGCTGACCTTTTCTCCTGAAATGGGATCAATGACGGGCTCCTCAACCTCATGTTCTCTCAGCAACACATTACCCCGGGTAGCTCGGAAGAGAATACGCTCAAAGGCCATGGATTTCTCTCTAGGAACAAGCCCAGCAATAGAACCCAATCTAACTTGCTTAGATGAATCATAAGACAATTCCTGCAAAACAATTCTTTATTGAATACCATTGGGGTCTGTTTGATTGGAGAGAAATAAGTTGGTATGAAACATATTTCATGTGGATGGTGATTCCTTTGGGAATATTTTTACATATATAATGTAAAACCAAAAAAAACTGATTCAGGAGAACGACTCCATCTCTTACAACTTATAAGACTACATTGTTTTCACTTCCTCTGTTGAAATGAGGAATATGTTTTCCACATATATACAAAGAACCAATGAAGCTTCATTCCTTTGATAAAAATGTTTTCTAATGGACAAGAATATCTAGAAAGCCTACTAGAGGAAAGCTACTGATCACTAGTGGAAGAAGGCAAGATTACCAATTCTGACAAGAGTGGAGCTTCCACAGACTCTTCACCACTTTGATTTGATGCATATTCGTGTTGCTGAGATTCAGCACTACTCTGAGCTGAGTGAAATATTTCACCAACCTGCAGAAATATGGAAAAGATGTGTCTTTTGACTCTAATCATAAAATTTTAAAGCAATCTCTTCTATAAGTGGGTTTGAATCCAACTGTAAAGTTGATGTACAAGAGGCTGGATAAAACATCCAGCTACTCGGACTCTATTTAATTATAAAAGTTCCATTTATAAAGTACCATTACCTATCGTTTTGAGATCAAAACTAGTTACACTTGTCTTATATTTACTGGCTAAAAAAACATCTACCTATTGAATCCAAAAAAATGAAAAAGAACCACAAAGGAAGATTACCAGGCATTACCTTCTGCAAAACAAGCTTGTATTCCACAAGTTCATTGTATGATCGTTGTAACTTACTATTGTTAGCATTTATTTCAACCAGTTCAGCTTCGAGTTCTCCAAGCTTCACCTAGATATACATACACAGAATATAAATGTTCTCAAAATAAACCGGGTACAATTACAAATTTGGAGTTTTGGACTAAGCAAAGCACAAAGATAGCCCAGTAACCCATACATACCTCCAGATCATCAAAACTTAAGTCATCCTGTGTGACAGACTTGGCAGAAAGTGACAATCCTGCTTTAGACATTTGATCCTTGAAAAACCATAACTTGCGTGCCATTTCTCCACATCTCTTAATCTACAAAAGGGGAAAAACAGTACTACATATAGTTGTTCTCTTGTTAATAGCAAATGATCTACCTAAATGAAGAATATATTTATGCAACCCACATTGAGATAGGGTATCTAACGGTTTGCCAAAGAGATGGAAAATTAGTGATTCTCAAAAAACTTGATTGTGGCAAATTGTCGAAATCACTTGAAACTTAGAAGTCATTGTGATTACTATGAGCCATCTCCTAATGGATGTGATAGTTCTATAAAAAATTGATCAGTTGAAAAAGCTTATTGCATGACCGCCATGAACATGTTTTATGTGTTCTATTGCAAACAAATAAGCTTATATCATCAAAACTAAACACTTAATAAAAAACTAGAATCATTTAAAGCCACTGCGACATCTTAATTGCATGATGATAAAAGAACACATTTACCTGAGTAGCATATGTTCGCTGGAAAGGGCTCTTCTCAACATTCAGCTGGAAGAAAATAGAAAAAAGGGAAAAATTATTCAATAGCCGTGGAAGATGAGAAAGACTACAACAAGTAAGATCAGTGACCAATCTTTAAAGAGCATAATGACAATTACTAAGACATCAATTAAACACCACCGTAAAATCATCCAGTTGTGGCGTGTGGCATAAAAATAAAATGCCAATGCCAATTACTTGCTAGATTATCAACAACAAAAAACAGTGACAATGTTTAACTGCCCTTCCCTTCACAGCCTTTTAACCAGTGAGAAGGTTTGGCAAAAAGACAGGCTATCTTTCCTAATCCTAGATCTTATCCTTGTATACTAGATGGTTGATGGTTCAATTAGTCTTTTTCCCCTATATCAAGGTTAGAAGAATATTTTTTTTGCCAGCATCACATTTGTCTACGTTGGTACACTTTTTACCGATTCCACTAGCGTTCCTCCCACAAGTGGAAAAGCCACGTAAGGACCTAGGGACATGTGCCCCGCAGGTTGAGAAAAATGATTGCTTTACAACAACAACAAGCCCAATATAATTCCAAATTTTGTTGGAATCATGGGGTCAAAATATATGCAACTTTATCCCTATAAAACATATAGGCCGTTTCCATTAGACCATTGATGCAGTGATGCACTTACTGCCAAAAACTTCATAGATAATACAGCAAGAGAAGTTTAATGTGTCATTTGAAATAATCCAAAGCAATCTTTACCCAAAGCTAAAACAAATACAAAATTGACTCTTTTAGCTCCAATACCAATAGACACAAAAAAAGCCCAACAACAAAACTCTTTATATAAACCTGTCCCAAGATAATTCGAATTTTTAGCTATGTTTCTGCAACCAATCGAAACTTTTGCTTGCCTCCATGAAGAATGAACACACACACAAAAAAAAAGTACCAACTACCCATAGCTACGATTAGTCAAGTGAGCAGAAATCCCCTAGCTCTATTAATCATCAACAAGAGTTCGTGGCCTCTCCTTATCAATAATAATGAAAAAAACAGAATGATTCTGCGCGTATGGAGGTAGGGCGTACATCTTTAAACTGGATGAGGCCAAGGTCGCCGAGGTAAGCGACGGAGAGGTGAGCGGACTCGATTGGAATGATGAGTTGAACGAGCTGCATAGGCTCCGATCTGAAGAGATCCATCGGTGGGCAGCAGCCGCTTCTGCCTCCGCGCTGCTCCGCCATTGTTTCTCAGCTCCGCCCTCGCGCGATCTCCCTCCGTTGTCAAATCTATGTCCGGATACCCTTCTCTACTTGCCTCTCAAAATTATTACGTGGTTCTTCCTTTGGTGCCAATATTACCCCTTATAAATTTATATTTTTTCCGTCCAAAAACTCCTTCTTCTTTTAGACTTGGTACGGAAATTAAAAAAATAATGAAGTGTAAATATTTTTCATATATTATCATTGTGATGAAATAAATTAATAGTGTAGAAAAAAGTTTAGGTATAATGACATATTCGATCATTAAAAGTTTTTTTCAGAATAGAAAAAAAAGAGGAATTTTTAGATATTTCAAAAAGAAAAGTGAGAAAGAAATTAATGAACGAAAGGAGTAATAGAGATTAAGTCATCAAGTAAATAGAAATCACTCTAAATAAGACTAAAACATAATGAAAAATATCAAAATAGAACTTTCATATTTTTATTTTTGAAATAAGACTTTGCACTGTGGTAATGTGACATTGTTCATGTGCGCATTACAATACTTTTTTGTAATGTACATGACCATGTTTGATAATGTAAATGTATTTTAACTATTATTTCGGGAATAAAACATAGAAGTCCTATTTTGATATATTTTCAATGTTTACTCCTAATTTTGTCTTTTTCCTTTAAATAAACGAGTTTAAAATAGTTTCTATGTTTAAGTATCGTGTATTTATTTAATTTCATACGAGTATTTTCAAGTCAAATTAGATAAAATTCAATCATTAATAATTCTCAAATTGTATTATATATTATTCGATATATAATAAAGTAAACTTTTGAAAGTTTTCAATCAAAAATCTATTAAGTCATTATCTATTAAATATAATTTTTATTTAAGGTCCATTTAAAAACCAGGAAAGTAGGTTCTGGAAAATGATTCCTGAAAAATAAGTCATTTTCTTGATTTCATTTTCCTTTTCCGGTGTTTGGCAAAAAGTCGTAAATTGTAAATTTTTGTTTGGTTTATTTTTGAAAAATGTGTAAGCCTTAATATAGTCATGTGTGATCTTGTTTGATTTGTCTTAACATATAGATTATTAATATATAATTTCTATAATTTTTTAATATACAAATTATAAGATAAAATGAATTAAAGAAGTGCATTGGATGATGTGTAAAAATGAAAGTAGACAAATACTCTGGGACGGAGGGAGTGTTTATCAATTTGTATTTTAAACATTTTATCTAACATATGGTAGACTGATTGAATATTACGAAGTATATCATCAATTAGGACGAACAGAATTGAAGGGAAGAAATTTTGGGAGGGAAAATACTCCGTATTTTACTGCAACTATATCGTGCGTGAGCCAATGGGGGAATTTTTTTCGAAGAAGAGCATTTTCTTCTCCCTTTGATTAGAAGAAATAAAAATATTTGTACCAGAAAATCTTTATTTTATTTACTGAGTAATAAGTAAGCTTAAATTGTATTTATTTTATACTCCGTAATATATTGTACAGAGTATCTTATATAAATACAGAGTATTTTTATTTAATTACGGAATATTAGATATGACATTTTTATGGTAAATACGTATGATAACTAATAAGTAAAATTTGCACTAAATAAGACTAAAACATAATGATTTTTCTAATGTAGGACTTAAACTTTTTTATTCCCTAAATAGGACTTAATAATGACCTAGTTGGAGGAATAATGTCCAATAATGATAGACATTTAGTTAAATAATGACTACTTGATAATGACCAAAAGTCCTACATTGAGAAATGAAAACATATGGTCCTATATTGGGAAAATCATTATGTTTTAGTCCTATTTAGGTAAATTTCTCATTTTAAAAACAAATAATTTTAAAAATTGGACAACAAGATATGATATGATACTCCCACCCTCCCATCAATTCAATTTATTTTGTGATTAGTGTAGAATTAAAAATAAAATTTATATGTAATGAAATTATTTTTCAAAATATGAAAATTTGAGATAACAAAATACAAAGTAAAAGACAACTTGATTATAAGCGTTAAACTCTTTTACATTAGTGAGAATTTAATCAATGTTATTATGTGGGTGTCTCTGTGTTTATAAACAAGTCAAAAATACTTAAGGGGGGTTTTATAATTGTAGGATCTCAGGCGCTACCAACTCTTCTAAAACCAATTGGTGTTAGAAGAGGCGCATACCCTAGCCTTATAGTGCATTCAACACACAAACGCCCACGACATTCGACTATGACTTGGCCCACATAGCCTCCGCCATGGGACAATTGCTGCACACATGACCAACAATCTCCCCCTCAGCAATTGCTCCCGCTGGGAATCGAACTCGTGACCTTGGCTCTGATACCACTTGTAGGACTTCAGGCGCTACCAACTCTTCTAACACCAATTGGTTTTAGAAGAGTTAGTAGCGCCTGAGGTCCTACAATAATTAATGGGACAAGCCCTACTATTAACGGGTTACAAAAATAAAATCCTACTTTTTGTGTGTGTGTGTGTGTGTGTTCTACATGATGACCTCAGCCTTTTCTATGACCTTTCTTCTTCCAAGTATCTTCACATTGTTTCCTGATAACAGTTTCATGGCCACTTCCATGTTTACGTCCTTGGGGTTCATGCTCTGTCACCACACACATTTACATTCACATAATTAGCTTGTTTACAAACTAGCATTGTATAACAACTAGAAAGTTAAAAAAAAAATCAGATGAAATTCCGAATCTGTCCTTTAATAAGAATCTATTTAGCATAAGCTCTCAAATGATTCATGCGACATGCAAATGCACACAAACAAAGAATTTGAACCACAACATACCTTGGGTAACGAAGCAATGGTGCGCTTATGTCTGATTTTATATCCTTCTACTGAAACTCTCATGATAATGTCTCGTCCATCATCTGGATGTTTCCCCTGTATGTATGTCCCATTTTTATGAAGAGGAATTTACTTAAATAGCACCAAAACATAATGACTTTCCCTAAATAGCATCACATGTGTTTTTCTTCCCAATGTAGCACTTTTAGTCATTATGCATTAGTCATTATTCGCCATTACAGGACATTATGGACATTATTAGGTGCTATTTACGGAATAAAACAATTTAAGTGCTATTTAGGGAAATGACTTAAGTTTTAAGGCTATTTAGTGCAAATATTTCTTTTATGAATCCAGCATTATTCACGTATGAATTATAAGAGAAAGAAAGAAGTTAAAGGTTGTTGGATAACGCACCAAAGTAACAGGATAGCGCAGCATATCCAGGGCGTGTTCCAAGGTTACGGATGTGATATCCTTTACCTGAGCCAAAAAGAATATTGCGAACTCATTCAAAAGAGTAACTGAGAGACGTTTGTGAGTGTCAACATGATGGCAAGTTGTATGGTTATATAGACGAAAAAGTGGAATCAATTAACGTTGGTCGTTGGGCATACTTTCTATAGATGAAAAAGTGGAATCAATTAACGTTTCATTCTACAGATGAAACCGGTTTGTTCCTTAATGGTATTATTGACATTAAGAGGGTGTGCACATAGGTATTGTTTTGTTTTTTCAAGGGTAAAATAATTTCATGCACAGAAATATACTATCCATTTGTGTGCGTCTCAGCTCAATATATTCCACTCCGTCAAAGTTGAGTTCTTGGTTGGGATTAAAAGTGTCAATGGGCATTTATGTCAATATGCAATAGCACGAGAATAGTGAAGATAATGACACAAAACTAGGGACTGTCATTCCATTACGGCCAACACAAATACTCATCGGGTTCACTGACTGAATACAAGGCCAGGAATGAAGCCTTCTATTTAAGGATAGTGTGAATGCAATGCTTAAAAACATGAAGACATGTGCAGTAAATATAGTTGTTCTATTATGCTGGATGATGAGAAATATCCTAACCAAACATGCCCAGGATGCCCTACTTGGAAGTAAGGCATTTACACCTATGAGTAGATTGTTTCCATGAGATCCCCAGTTAGGGATATTTCATCTTCGGATGTCTCTTTTTTGCACTTCCTCTGTTTTTTTTTTCATTTAATGAAAAAATGTCTTAATTAAATAGGGACGGAAAGAGTAATAAAAAAACAAAGTTTCACATTGCACTTGGCTCTTTAAAGCAGCCCTATAGAATGTTTCTTTGATGAAAGTTTGGCTTTTCGAAAAAATTTGTTGTGAGCATCATAATGCTTATAGATAAAAGCCGATAAGAAATATGGTGGCATTTCATAAAAATGTCAATGGGTAGTGTTCTATGTCAAAATTAGCTCACTGCTCACATACTTGGGCCAGTGATGATCGCTTGGGGGTGTGTCCTGCCCTGTCTTCTCCGAGTTGAACATAGCATCCATACGGACCATTCTTAACAAAAACCTATACACATGAAAAAATGCAACACCTTATAGTGGACTAAATCATATAAAAGTATTAAGTGATATAATGCACAGGGGAGAGGTGAGAACCTTTTCATTTGAAGACGGATGGACGCCCAGCAATATCGGTTCATCTATATTTTTATTATCATCTGATGCAATTTCATCTTCCTGCTCACCATACAATGTCTTTGCAATGTACCTGAATAGTTTGAGAGTTATTTGCCAATACAAGTATACAACATAGTAACATTATTGGTATTTGGTAACAACACTTGCCACAACCACAGTTGAGAAGAAAATGCTTCAATGAAGAATACAGTAACAATTCTTCTAGTTCTACTCATGCAAGAGAAAGTATCATTTCCAACAAAAAAAGTGGCCAATAACAAGAGAATCATTAATGAACAATATTATACTCCCTCCGTCCCCAAAAAAACTCCTGATTGGGTTTGGCATGAAGTTTAAGTAAAATTGAATGGTTGGAAGGGATGCGGAGAAAAGAGAAAGATTGTACGCCACATGAAGTTATCTAAGAAAGGAAAGAGGAGTCTTTTTTGGGACCTTCAAAAAAGAAAATGAGAAGTCTTTTTGGGGTAGAGGGAGTAGAAGAACGAAAATAAGATGTACAGCCTTATAAGGGGAAACTCACTTGCACTTAGGGTGTTGATCGCAGCCTATAAAATACCCTGCACCAAACCTGCTGACTTTGAATGATAAAGTTCCTTCCTCACATCTAGAGCATGTCCTAGAATGGTGTGGAATAGATGCAAAGAAAAAGTTTCCATATGTTTTTTCCAACATCTTCTCCACGTGATGGATGTGCATGTTACCAGCATGTTCACAGTACTTGCTAAATCTAGACCAGTAATCTTTCAACAGACCTTTCCATTCAGTCAACCCAGCAGACACATTATCAAGTTCAGTCTCCATATCAGCGGTAAAAGAATAATCTGCCACTTCAGAAAAATAATGTGAAAGAAATGCTGACACCATGCGTCCCCGAAATTCAGGATATAGTGTCCTGCTTTTTGCAGTCACATATTTCCAATCCATTAACACTTTGATTGTGGATGCATAAGAAGAAGGTCTTCCAATACCAAGTTCCTCCATCTTCTTGACCAAACTGCCCTCAGAGTAGCGTGGTGGATGCTGAGTATGATGTTGATTAATTTCTGTTTTGCCGCAAAACAATGTGTCCCCCGACTTCAAATCACTTAGAACCTCGAATATTTTAGTCCGGCTATCATCCCCATTTTCATCTTTATGTATTAAATTAGTGTCTTGGTCCCCATTTTCATCTTTACGTATTGAAATTGTTTCTTGGTCCTCATAAACAGCCTGATAGCCTTGAAACTCAACTTTCGAGCATGTAGAACGAAAAATAATAGATTGATCAGATTTCCCAATATCAAGTACTATCTGATCTATGGTAGCAGGTTCCATTTGGCATGCCAATGCGCGGGACCAGATAAGTGTGTATAACTTCAAGGAATCATCATCTACTACCCCGGACAGCATTGAAGGAAGCCTACAAATATCGGTGGGTCTAACGGCTTCATGGGCCTCTTGAGCATTTTTAACCTTCCTAAAATATGTACGAGGATTTGTGGATGCAAAATTANCATCGGACAGCTCGAAACCCTCATAGAGCTTTTGTGCTAGCCTCATCGTATATGTGGATGTGAAACCCAACCTGTTAGCAGGCTTCTTGCTGGAGTGTAGAAGTTATATATGGAGGAGGCGGGTTTCTCTGCTTTTTAGATCTCTTAGAACTAAGAACTTCAAATACAGATGAAGCGATCTTCTGTTGTATTTCTGTTGCCTCTGAGTGAGAATGAATGGAATGCTGATTTAGCTTTTGAGAGTCGAAATGTGTCAGGTGTGATGAGAAATAGTTGTTAGCCGAACCTGGGTTGTCCTTTTTACAAAAGGCAACTTGAACTGACCAGTATTCCTGAGGCTTAAATTTGTCAATTTCCATTTCCCTATCACATATTAGTGCAAGAGCAGCAGACTGAACCCGACCAGCCGATTGGCATGCAGGATGTTTCCTCCATAACAATGGAGAGATGTTGAATCCTATCAAGTAATCAAGAGCGCGCCGTGCGAGATAAGCATTTACTAAATTCACATCAATCTCTCTTGGACACTGGAGGGCACTTTTTATGGATGATTCAGTTATTTCATTGAAAACAACCCTTGCCACCGTAATATCATCATGTAAAGCATCTTGTTGCTGCAACATCTCTTTAATGTGCCAAGCAATAGCTTGTCCTTCACGATCAGGATCAGAAGCAAGAACAATATTCTTGGCTCTGACAAAACATGGGGGGAATACATGACATAAAGAATAAAATATCAGATGTAAATACAAGAATAAAAAGCAATGTCATCTTAAGAATCACCGTAGCCCAACAAATATGTTCAGGTTGATAGCAAAAAATTTAGGGTCAATTAATTGTCTAAAAATCGTCTACACCCTATAAATTCAAACAGCCTTCGAAAGAAGGAATAGTAATATAAAATATCAAAACTATCATCATCGTATAAAATTTAGTTTCCTCTACTTACGTAAAACACCTGGCAAAATGCCCAAAACAGCTACAAAAGTAGAGTACATAGCAATGCAAAAACACAGATATCATACCCACTTAATGCACCTTTGATAGCAAGAAGGCGAGTCCATGCAGCTGGAGGAACCTCCCACACCATGCTGAAGTCATCATCGGGTCGCACAGATCCTGACCTGGCAGCCAAGTCCCTGATATGGCCATAACTAGGCAGAACTTCAAACATGTCCCCAAGATATCCCTGAATAATTTTTGCTTTTGTGGCAGACTCAACCACCAATACGGACTTACTGCTGGGTGGATATAGCATTGGCCACACTTTCTGAACCTGAGGCTGAGGCTCAGTTTTAAGGTTGATGTTTAAACTTTGATATTGTTCCAAGTTACTTGTTGAAGAAGAATTATGTGTGTTCTCTGATTTCACAATACCAGTGGCTCCTGTATTTGACTTTCCCGTTCTGCGGTTTCTCTCCTTGGAAGATGTGGGTTGCTGCTTTGCCAATACCTTATCAATAGATACTTCTGAATTGACAGTTGAACTAATCTGTAAAACTGTGAAGTTAGCTAATGCATTTATTCATTACTACAATCATGAAATATGTACTCCTTATCGAGATATTTCTAACCTCGGAAATGGCAGGCGCTTGCTTCTTTTTTGCAGTACGTCTCTTCTTTTGTTGAGGAACATCATCCTTAGCATCAGTAGGTTTATTGTCACACTTTTTACTTCTAGATCGTTGCTTCAATTTCCCTTTTGTTACGGACGGTTGTTCATTGCTAGCAGGTAAACTTTGAATCTCAATATTCACATCCTTATTAACACTATGAGGAATGTTGCCATTTTCTATGTCTGAGAGTGCTTTTTTAGGGATGCTAGAGAAGGACCGTGACCCCAATCTGCCCAATGAACCAGCACTGAGGACATCTGTGGAAGGTTCATTAAAATGTAACCCCCTTCCAAATTTTGGCAGTACAGTACAGAGCCACTTTGGCTCAAATTTTATGGCATAAACTCTACAGGGAATTCCCCTAGTAGCCAAATATGTCCTTGCTTGCTGAGGGAGTATGTCAATTTTTTTAATACTTCCAAAAGCAAGATACTGTAAATGAATTGATGAACGATTCTGAAATGCCTTGAACTGTAACTTAAAAGAGTTTTATTTAAGAAATTAAGAGTACAGTGTTGAGAGAGACAAAATAAATAAGTAAAAAATAGAAGACATGATTCTAAACATTATGATGGAGCTTACATCTTACTCACTCTATCCTGATTTTGTTGTCAACTTTTTTTTGGGATGTATGCAATTTACTGTCCAATAACTATATTTAGTAAAGGCTAATTTGAATTGTCAAAAATACATCCTGAAAAGTATATTACCATCGCTCACATAAATGAAAAAAAAGGTAATTTCAGGGTTTTTTGCTATTTTTCCCATATTACAACAACAACAACAACAACCCAGTTAAATCCCACAAGAGTAGGGTCTGGGGAGGGTGTGTGTACACAGACATTGCCCCTACTCGAAAGTAGAGAGGCTGTTTCCAAAGAGACCCCCGGCTCAACGTCGAAAGTTGCATTGCTTGACTAACTGCTACTTCATTAATTAAAGAAGCGCAGACAGTTTAGAGATCCATTTTGATTTATTCCATCACACCCCAAAGCCAAAAAATGGTGAAATTTTGGCTCCATCGAAGATGATGGAACGCTATTTTTCCCATATTCAATTCTTTAAACTTCAGATGTTTTGAAAAGTGTAACATAAAATAGGACGGGAGTAGAAAACACTATCACATACATATTCACCCTCGAGACATAAATAAACAAAGTAATCTTGTAATGAAGTATACAATATTTTCCATCCTCAAGCGGAAGAAAACATTCCTAACGGGAACTTATCTTTAAGGCATTAAATATTCAATAACGAAAAAGAAGAAGAAGATTGAAACTGGTATTCTACCTCCAATTCAGTACCTTTCATCTTTTCAAATTAGAAACTCATCACTTACCATTATGGTGAGACAATTACTAGCGGCAGTGGTGAATAGTTTCTTGTGACCATATTGCCCTGATGTTGATTCATAGTTGCACATTTCAATACAAATAACATGATTATAGAAGATGATATTGAGGAAATACATAATTTCAGTATACGATCAATAAATATCTTTTGCAATGATGTGATGTACTATTATGTAATAGATGTTTCTAAAATCCCTTTGCAAAATCCAAAGTTGGTTAGTTTACAAACACACAGGAATCAGACTCTTACTCTACCTGTTGGTTCAAACAAAACTCTTGCTCTTACTCCTACAGCCTAAGATGTGGGAGAAATAAAAAACTCCTTGGGGGTTTTAGATTTTCTAGAAAACATTCACATTATTTTTTGGGGTGAACAATCACATTGTTAAATGTTAACTAAGATAAATGTTATATTTCAAAAATATCCCTTTATTTCTAGGTTTGAATTAACCAAAAATTTTGCATTGTTAAACGGATTTTGTAAACACGACACACATTGGTTTCAAAGACTATGACCCATTAAATAGTTGTTACTTGGGTACTCAAACTTTGCTGTTTTAAAAAACGAATTTAGTACACAAAATTTTGGCAAAAAAAATTAAGAGATATAATATGAATAGTATTACGGAGTAAATGATAAAATTTAATAATTTATTCTTCCTGATGACCCGACCAGGCGGCTCCTTGCTTCTAGTGGTGTTCATCAGTCCAGGACCGGAACAGACCGAAGACCGAAATGGGAAAAAATTAGGACCAAAGACCGGACCTTTAAGTGTTCGGTTTTAGACTGAACTGCACCGAAACCCCTTAGACCGGACCAGTTTGGACCTAAGAGATCGGATTGTACTAATTCTTTTACTTTTTAGAATTAAATTTTTAAATGTTTTACAAGTAAAAAAAAACCCTACAAAATGTAATTATACCCAAAAAAAAATACAGTTCATCACAAATCATAATGGGGAATTAGAGATGCAGTTGTATTAAACTGAAAAAACTTCATCATGCAATTGTATAAAAAAATTGCAGTAACTTGGATTTTATTTCTTCATTAGATTCCTTCCAAAACTGAACCATAAATAACAATTCATCACAAATCATTGTAGGGAATTAGGGATGCAATAGTATCAAAGTGAAAAAAAACTCCTTCACGCTTGTACAAAAAAAACTATCCTTGGATAGAAGAAACCTTTAAAAAAAATTGGGTGGTTTATTCAAAAGTAAACTTACAAATTACCTAATCTGTGAATCCACTATCACGAGAGGAAGGCATCCTGCTGAGCTGGATTGTGGGAATCGGCAGTGATAGCTGAGTATGGTAGCGACTGGCTAAACGATGAAAGCTGCGGAAATTGGTGACAGTTTGAGAAGATTGAAGAAGGTGCGATTCAACAGGGCGGACGGAGAAGATGACCGAGAAGATGGAGATTGTCGATTGAATTTGAAGGAGTGAAGAGGACTCCTGGGTGAGAGGGAGAAGCCAGACCAGAGAAACGGCTTTATCTAAAACATACTAAAAAAATTTAGAAAATAGGGAGTATGGTTATAAAATATTTTAAAATTCTTATATAAAGATCAAATGGTTATAAAATATTTTAAAAAATATAAAAAATGGTTTACTTCAGTTCTGTCTGGTTTCTTGTAATATGTTTTAGAAAAAATAAAAACTTACTAAACATATATAAAAAAATATGTTAAAAAACATATAAAAATGGTTATAAAATATTTTATATAAAGATCAAATGGTTATAAAATATTTTAAAATCTAAATGAATCAAATATTTTTAAACGAATCGAATATATTTAAACAAATCGAATTTTCAAACGTACCGAATATGTTTAATATATTAAACGAACCAAATGTGAATCTTAAAAAATATTTGAACCGAATTAAAATTCGAATATCGCTTCATCGTAACGAATACGAATATTTTTCATGAATATTTGATTCAATTCGGGTCGTTTACAACCCTAGAAAAAAGTGTGAAGAAAGGTCTAGAAGAAAATGAAATAATCCACATAGGTGAGAGCGTGTTTGAAAATGACTTCCTGATTTTAGACCGTATTTGCTCACTTTCCATTGACTCTCGTTGTACGGAGTACATTTTTGCCAAACACTAGAAAATGTAGAAAATGACTTTTAGAAGTCATTTTTCAAGTTTCCAAATAGACCCTTAATTGAGATCTAAATTTTATTTAGTTTGATTTTAAATAATTAAAATGAACAAATACACTAGAAAATAAATACTATTAATTATTGAACTTAATCGAAAAAATTGTCTTCAAACAAATTCACGGTCATCTTTTATAGGGTTAAATATGCTTTTGGCCCCGTAAAACTTCAATCTAAAATACAAAGTACTGCGTATTTTTTTAATTAAAACATCCCTAGTACTCTCTCTATCCCCACTTATTCTTCCTATGTATAAAAATTATACAAAATCTCATCTCTTTTAAGTAATTTATTTATGACTTGTTAAAAAATTATACTAAATCAAATTTTATAAAATAATGTATGATAAGAATATTTCATTTTATCTAATGATCAATGTCTTCAATGAAAACATACATACAAACATAAATTTTAAATACTTTAAAAATATAAAAATAATATTTGGAAAGGATATATTGCAGAACTCACATGTGATATATGACTTTAGACGGTTCTATACTTGCATTAAATGAGCGTATGATTAATTCACTCCCAAATCCGATATAGATGGAGCATTCAGCATTGGTGCAGTATTTGTAATAGTTCAGAGGCATATTGGTGTAACTTTTAATGTTTAAGGAGAATTCATGCAATTTCTAAAAAAATTTAGTGATAAATGACTAGGGTTGTCAACGAATAACCAAAAATTTGATTATTATCTGCATCCGTATTCGTTTAAAGAGGAAATATCCGCATCTGCTTTAAACGAATATTATCTGTATCTGATTACTAAACAGATACGAATTTGGTAATTGTATATTCGATCCATTTAAAATCTGATCCGAATATGCATCCGTTTGAATAATTGTTTATCCAAATATCAAATTCATTATATACAATATTTCCTAATTTTTTTAGGTTTATATTTTGTTTCTCTTATGATATTTCAAAGTATAAGGCATTTTTATATATACAAAAAAATGTATAAACACATAAATATTTATGTGCAAAAACGAAATGAGTTGAACTATGTTCAACGAATACATATAAAATATCATAAATCATGTGATGTGTATATATTTTTATTATCATACGAAATTATCATAAAATATCATAAATCATGAAAGCAAAAAAAATAATTATCTCATAATAAATTATAGTTGATTTATCATTTAATAATAGTTTGACTTTAATCTAATTTAAAATTAAAATATTATTTAATTTGATTTTAAAAGTTTGAAATGGATATGAATATATCCGATATCCGATCAATATTCGACGAATACGAATACGATTTTGATTTTCAATATCCGTCAAGATACATATCCGAATTCGATATCCGAAAAAAATAAACGGATACGGATTTGGTAATGACACATCCGATCCAATTAATATTCGTTTACACCCTTATAAATGACGCAAAAAACTCTTAATTTTAGGGATCAAATGCAGTTTTTAATGTGTCACATTTGCTCTTGATTTATATATTTCTAGAATTATTTTATTTACATGTTAATGAACCTTTGGTTAAAATGTTGACCAAGCATCCTTTTCTTTTCTCTTGGATATCCCAAAATCATTTTCTCAAATTTCTCATTTCTTTTGAAGGAAAAAGATGCCTAGGAATGTAGCTCTCTTTTATAGTACAAATTACACGCTTTTCAATGAAGTGAAATTGTGAGAGCATAAAACTTTTCATTGGCTTACAACTATAAATTTGATTTTTTTTTTTGCTGAATTGGTTCTTTGATAGAATCCAAAGCAAAGGAGCCCCAAATTAGGCATCATACATTATGTTTTTCGTTTGAATTTAAGAATCAAAAACACCTTACGTTTGGTCCATAGTTGCAATCGGCGACAATGGGAGCAAAAATCGCACGAACAATCCAATGTCTTCGCACTTTCATGTTAAGAGGGATCCAATCTCCAGAGTTGATCTCTACTCATGTTCTCCAGCCCATTTGCAATGTTAAAGAAATGCCCTCAAAGTCTCATTTGACTCTCATTAATCAGGTGTTCCAAGAATCAGTGAATTCTAGAGAATCAAAAAAATTATCACTTCTGAAAACTAGATTGTAGAAAGCACAACAAGCAACGGGTTTTTTTTCCATTCAAAATATGAAATAAATTCTGAGATGAAAATTGTCAGAATCGGTTTTTCGTCATCATAGCCCAATGAGCCCTATATGGTGTCAAATTTAAGAGCGTGTTCTCTTCAACTTATTCTTTTTACTTTTTACCTATTCTTATTGGAATCATATCAATCAGAAATAGCTTAATCGAATCAGATCAGAACCAACTTGATAAGTTAGCCCGTGCATATGCGACAAAAGAGGCTTACCTGGCGTGCATAAGAGTTTAATCATGTCCTCGTTTTTCCCGTCCCAGAGGCTATTTCATCCATGCTTTGTCCCCTTCGCCTATACTTACCACCGGAATCCAAGAAAGAAGGACAAGGGCGGTATGCCTTTATAGGCCACCAACCGAATCCCGGGATTGTAGCTATCCCTCCTTGAATCCTTCCCTCTCCATTGCAACCTATCTCCACCACTTCTTTGCCACACCCCTTGCAACCCCTGCACCAACCATGCCATTGTGTCAGAGTAAAAAAACTTTTACGGAGTAATTGATAGGGAAGGACAGAGATAATTTCGTAGAAAGCTAACTTGAATACAAAGACTTGAAGAGAGAAAAATTTTTTATTTAAAAAACATTACTCCCCCCGGCCATAAATAAAGGTTAGAGTTTTGATTCAAGATTTTGACTATAATTACAAGATGTGGCATGATTATGTTATTTTATCAAATGAGTAACGGAAATAAGCAAAGAAAGTGAATAAAGCTTAACCTGAAATAGTGAATGAGACTTTTTATTTTAAGACGGAAGAAGTAATACCCTGGGGTAAGCAATGAACCAGAGTCCTGAACGTGTGTGGAAAGGACGACGCCATCAACATTAGGAGTAGTGTGCTCTTTTACCTTCTTCTGATCTTTCCTGCGATTTCTGCAATATACAAGGGAGGAACGCGATAACTTTGTCTGCTGGGACCATAATGCCCTTTTTCGGGGCGATGAGAGAGAAGACTCTCTCTTGGGTGGTTTTGCCACTTGGGGGAGGGAAATGCTTCTTCCGGTGATGGTGGCCACGGTGGACATTCTCTCTTCGGGCGCTCTTCTCTTCCTTGCTGTCACTGTGCCTGGAGGTGAAATGGAAGCATTGAGACAACCAGCTGACGAGTTCAAATAGGAATTTTAAGATCATAACAACGCGATTCAACTCAAAACTGAAACTTTCCCTCGGTGCATACTTTACTTCTTCCAAATCTATATAAGCAGTGATTAATAACATAATTATTGAGCATCGAAATTGTAAGAGTACATATGGTTCAGTTTTTGCTTTTTTTGGCTGCATTTAGGGTTCATGAGAATCAGTTGCATCGGTCGGGTAAACTGGAAACCGGAATCACCTCATTCAAATACCTTATTCTAAATTTCAAAAACAACTTTCCCATGAATCCAACCCAAATGCATTCCTAAATCCTAATTCATTAAGAAAATCAGATTTTGGACAGTAGAATAATGACCAGCTGATTTTAAGCAGAATTTAAATTAAAAAACACAACACCAGCTGATTCTAGTTTATTTTGAGAAACAGAAATTGAACCAAATGAACCCTAAATCCGATTCTCGCAATTAAGATATGTTTTTTCGCACATATTACATATAAGAAATCTCTTATCGAATAGAGGACGAGACTCCAATCGAATGGAAACGATAATTAGAAATGTTTGGGGTAAATGAGATAGGGGGGGGGGGGATGAAAAATTGCTAAAATCTGAAATTGTTGTCCAGTAAATTTTATAGTGATGAGATCAGAAATAGAAGAAAACCTTGGCTAGCTGATAATCTCTAACATGCCATAAAGAAGACGAAGCAGAAACTTGTGGCCTTATTTGACAACAATGGAGAACTCAGTAGGAGAAATCATCTTATCATGTTGGAATACTCCAATTTTTTTAGCATTTCTATAAGAGTCAGGGGTACACCAAAATTACAGAATTACTTACCCATATTTGAAGAAATCATCTTATCCGTGTTTGCAGATATTAAGAGTGCATTTTAAAACAACTTATAAATAAAAAATAATTTTAAATGTTTGGAAATTGCCTTTAGCTTATGATTTATGGCTTTAGAAATAGTAGAAATTGCCCGCACGGGTAGCCCAAGTGGCAAGCACTTGGTGAACTTTGGAGAATGACCAAAGATCAAAACCTGGCAGTGACCGTTGTGGGGGCGACCACCTCTGGAAAATGGGGGAGTCTCTGGTGCGCACTAGGATATGGTCTAGCTAAGTGTTGTGCTTGGGTCACCGTGATTTACCTCCTCTCATATTCTCATCGGGTCGGGGGTGAGGGGCACCTGGGGTGAGCGTTTTCACCTTTTTGGAGAAATAGTAGAAATTAAGGAGATGTATTCAATGTGGATTTTGTAGTATTTTTTAGATTTCAAAAGTTTATGGGTATTTAATTCAGATTTAAAAAATTTATTTAAAATCTGGAAGTGTTCAATTTAGATTTTAAAATATCCTTTTAAATATAATGACATTCGAAAATCAATAGATTTTAAAAGATTTTTATAATATATGGTAATATGAATTTCGGGCTTTGGGTATAAATTGAAATCTAAGCCCAAAATCTGACAAAAAAAAAATAGTAAATATTTTGAACCTCCACGCAGGGTCGTCTCCTTCATCGTCTCGCCAGTTATTACGAGATTGTTCACTAACCCAATCTTTCTCGGTGAGTCCAAAATCTTACTAAATATTTTTAAAAATTTGTTTTATCTAATTAATACACCATGTAATTTTTAAAAGTAAATTTCATAAATTGTCACAAGTAATATGTGGTTTTTCATTTTTTGTCCATATTTATCAAATTTCACTCCGGTAGTTCATAAGGATGAAAAGGACGAATTTGTCGATTGTGTTGGGATGAATCAAAATGAGGCACTGCGACTTTCAAAAATTATGTACCAGGTGATGTCTTTCTTGACAAACTTACTCACATAGCCTGGTTTGATCATTTTTTTTTAAATCTCGGGTTTAAGATTCCGACCGTTCGGGGTCTATGGTAATGGAAGCGACAAAACGGTCCACCTAAGAATATCTCACAGCAGTTCTCATTGCAAGAATGAATAGCCATTCACAAAAACTCACATTTGCTCTTTCGTTGAACACATTGTAGAGATTTACACGAGCAAACGTTTGAGATGCAAAACTCAACTCTTGTTCAGTCCCAAATTTACAGACATTTCTTATTTTTACAGTTGCTGAAGGGTGGTGGAGAAGTACAGAAATGAAAATAGAAACCGGTATACACCCCCCCCCCCCCAAAAGGTTCAAGTGTTGCCAACTAATAATCAAAGAATTGCGCTGTACCTCATAAATGTTATGGAAGAATCTCTGAAACAAAAGAAAACATTATTAGTTTCGCCTTTAAGAAACTCGGAGTACTTTGAACTTGTATGTATACTACGGAGTTATCGCATAGCATAGCATAGCATGGCATACTCACCTCTCTCTCTTTCTGAATAAGATATGGCTTGCAATGAAACTCTCTTTTAGGTAAAAGCAAAAATCCTATCGACAATCTTTGTCCGACAAAGTGGACATTCGACGCAAGCTAGGGAACACGACTTGCACACTGGCAAAGATAAAAGAACCAAACATAGTTAGCTACAAGCACACCATGGAACACACACGTAGAAGGATATATATATATATATATATATATATATATATATATATATATATATATATATATATATATATATATATATATATTGCAGATGCAGGGACTTACAGCAAAAATGACGGCAAGGAAGAAGCATTGCAGCGGCAGGAGATTCGAAGCACACTTTGCACACATGCGAATTTGCATCCCCATTCCCCGTATACTTGTGCTCCTTTTCCTTCATCTCTTGCATCCTTGCCTAAAAGGGTTTTTATGAATGTGCACACAACAAGAGTACCATGGTATCATTTTCTTTTCTTGAATGCCCAAATGGAATATCCAAACAAAATGTAGTAGTTGGGTGAGGATTAAATATGGGCACTAGAATATATATGGGGTATACTTTTAGTTTAACTGAGCATACATATGACTACCAAACTACACCAGAATTTCACTTAGCTGGTGCAAAGTTCCATATGATAAATATGTTGGGCTATGTTTGGAAAGCAGAAAATATTGGGGAAAGGGAAATAGTATTGAGGAAGCTCATTTTTTTAAATTTTTCTTCCGCTTTTGAAATTCAAATGTAAGCAAATAACTACTCTGCACTTCTGCAGTATGCAATCAACTGTTTCTAAGAGTTACACATATATTTATATGCATATTCCATTCTTAAAGAAAGGTCTCTCAGAAACAATCTCTATACCTTTTCTAAGAGTGAGGTTTACATACACCCACCCAACAAACCCCCCATTCGTGGGGATTATACTTTGTGTTGGTTGTTGTAAAGAACTACATTAATAAATTGGGTTTGAAAAAAAATCCCAACATTGAATCATTGAGCTCGAATCCATTTTCCCTCTTTTCAATCTTCCAAAGCTATCTATTTCTTTCGAAGTCATGGTCATTTGCATGTTGGAAAATGGGTGAGGAAAAAGAAAACAAACCTTCAAGCGAGCAACAAGAGGCTCTTCCCTTGAGATGTCGGAAGGTGGAGCTTTATAGTCAACGGATTGGGTATCCTTGGAGATAAGATTCTTGCATTCAACTTCATTAACTTTTGCCCGATTTAAACAATCCACCCCATTTTGAACATCTGTGGTCTTTGCCTCTTGTCCAGCAGTACTTTCTTTCTTAAGTTGTGCAACTAGTACCCACATATTAGCCAAATCATTTTCAAGGGCAGCCTCCCTTTTCTTTGCCTCATCAAACTTCTTCCTATACTCACCTTCTACAATTTCCTTCTCAGCCAATACAGACTCTAAGGATGCCTCCCGTTGTTTCCTTGCCTGCAATTCTCTCTTTAGATCTTCAATGTCCAACTCCCATGTGTCAAGTTCATCATGGCTACCTTCATTTATTCGGCCAATCATGCGACCTCTACGACCTGTCCTTGCACTGTCCCCATACTTGCGGTTTGCACCATTACCCGACTGCATATTGAAACTCCTGGAAGTCAATAGCTCTCGAGAAGTTGCTGATAATTCTTTTTCAAGTTTCGCATTATGCAGTGATAGCTTGGTGACCTCTTCAGCTAAGTTCTTCAATTCAACTGCAGCTGCAGATGCCAATTCCTTTGCATACGATGATTCTTCAGACAATTTCTGATTTTGTACACGCAACCCACTGTTCTCCTCTACAATCTGAACACGTTCTAACTTTAATCTCTCGTTCTCAATCTCCTGCTTAGAGTAGAAGCAGGTCTATTAATTAACTGCATATTTTCTTATCCACATATTTGGCTTTATACGGAGTATATCACTTCTTGAGAATTAATTCTTCAGCCAACAATTACCTGGGTTTGAATTATCTTTCTCAGTTCATCTGTATAATCATCAGAAAAGCATTTTTCAGAAGGGGACACCTTGTCAGTCTTTGATGCACCCAACTGCTGCTCTAGTTGACTGATTTTTTCCATCAATTCCTTGTTCTCTAAACACTAAAATTATAAAAGCAAAATAATATTAGCTAATAAATTCAGAAAAGAATATAGAAGTTCAAACAGGTAGCAAAACGAAATGAAAAAACTACGAGCAATTTCACGGACCTTGCTCTCCAACTGTTCTTGAAGGATACGATTGTCTGCGGATTTTATCTGCATCAAAAGATCAAAATATGCTATTTAAAAGAATACTAAAACATGGTTCATTTTTATTAAAAAGGTCAGAGATTATCAATATAAAATGTACTGACCTCAAGCTCAAAACCCTTTTCACTACATTGGGTCATCAATTTCAGCAGTGCCTGTAATGAAAAACAAGAGGACTAATTATTAATCCAGAGTGCGTCTTTCGTTACAGAGAGTTAATGACATAGCTCTGCAGCAATTGAGATAGGAAATCATATCACAGATGGACAATGTGAGATCACCTTTTGCATTTCAACCATTGATGCATTACCACTAGCTGCTTCACCACTTTCTACAATGCGTTGTTCTAAAATCCTCATTTGCATTTGCTTCTCTTGAATTTCGCGCTCAAGAGTTTCAATCTATTGAACAAAATATAGTCAGCTCTATTTTAGTCCAGAGCCAAACAAATGACAATACCAATAAAGTAGTTTACAACCAATTCATCACACAAATTATATCACTCTTGCAATTTAATGAAGAAACTTGCTTGTAACTAAAGTAAATGTAGCATCACTGATGCTACTCTATTCCTGAAAAGCATGCTAGTTGTGATCAGATCATGGCAGATTTTTCATTTTCAGTATATGAATCCATGTAGATGCGCATATTCTTTGTTGAGTTAGATGCTTATGTACTTTTGAGTGTATAACTGTATACCGAACTAATTTTTCCATACTAACCGCAAGCATGTGCCTAGACACGAATGCATACCTGACTTTTCGAGTTTTCAGGATCATTTGCAGACTGCTCCTTTACACGTTTTAATGTGCTCATGCCAAATGCAATCTCTCCAGCAAGCATCTTGACTTGCTCAACTAGAAGATCGATCTGATCAGCCATGCTTATCCCTTCCTAAATAGCCAAACAGAGAGCAGAACATACAAGTAGGGTTATCAATAACCACATAAATACAAAGTGCAGTAATAATTATAGACTTCTGGACAGTCATAATCTTAAGTGTAAACACACACCAAGGTCAAACTATACTCATCTGATCTATTTCCAAGTATTTAAAACATAAAATGAAAGGCACTGGAGACGTACTATGGGCAGTTTTGGACCACATGATGAAACACTAATAAGTTCACCAACTTGCGTTGATTCAGTAATTGTACTGCCAGCTTGTGAGCTATCATCATTCCATTTGCTGGAAGATCTTCTGTGATTAAAACCAGAAGTTTCTGATGATGGGTTATTCTGATTCTCATGGTCTATGAGCAAAGAACCCTCGCGCAGAACATCCAGTTTCTGATCAAAGGGACGAGGAATAGCAATTCAGAATTTTTGTTTCAAAATAAATATTACTCTGTATAAAGTAAAGGCATAAGGACACTTTGGTTTGGAAGGAAAATAAAAAATGAGTTTTTTTATTAGTAATAAATGAGTTTTTAACATATGCACTATGAATGTATTCTCCAATTTCTTTGTAAGAAGATTGCAACAAGAAGGAAATTGGGCATAAAACTCAATGCGTTCTTTTCTGCATAAGTTAAAGTGTACTCCCTCCATCCCATATCTTTCTTCGCAGAGCACTATTATTTATTGGCATTTTTAATGGCCTATATGATAAAATAAAATATTCTTGTCACCACTTGTTTTGTAGAGCATTTGATGTAATTTTTTAAATATGTAAGTTTAATTTTTTATTTCAATATAATAGATTGAAAAAAATTGGGATTTTTCTTCGTTTTGCGCAATGCGAAGAAAGATATGAGACAGAGGGAGTAACTAACTTTAAGCAATTGACGCTAAATTTAATCTCATGGACCCCAACTAGATGGGATTAAGGTGGTGATGGGATTGGAAATGTATTCTTGTATTCTGCAGTCTGATGCAAAACCTTGGCAAAGTTTTAAAACTTAACTAAGCTGAGGTGATATATTGCAGATTTTTTGTACGAGATCTTCTAAACCAAAAGTACACGCAGCGAAAAATCAAAAATCAATAATATATAAATCAAGCTAGGCTGCATAACCTACATCATCTTCGGAAGCTGAATGGCTTCGTTGATGAGCACTGGACCCATCACCCAAGTACCCAGGAATTGAATTCTTTGAAGAAACAAGTATTAGCTTGGTAAGCCTCTGGATTCTACTCAGTAGTGCAGCTTTGGCTTCCTCTTCCTCCTCCAATCTTGATTGCATTTTCACTTGTCCTTCTTCCAACTATTAATGAACCACAACTTATAAGTTGAAAGAGGATAACAGGTGGCCCACTTACTATACCATATGTGTGGCTAAAAGAAATAATTTAAGACCGCTGAAAGAAGAAATAACGAGAGTCTGAGACTTCAGAATCTACCTGTTGTCTTAAGCTCATAATTTCTTCATGACTCACACCCACGAGCATTCCCCTCCTGAACTGATCAAGTTCTTGTTTGAGACATGAGATTTCTTTTTGATACTTCTTAATCAAAGATTTCTCATCAATAATCTGGAAATTGTTTGTTTTCACAATGTTAAACAACCCCATCCAGAAAATTTAAACAAGGTCAATTGTGTAAAGACAATGAATAGGCAAACCTTATTGCGTGAGGCATATATTTCAACACACTTAGCCCTGTTTGCAAATTTTAATGTGTTGTGTGTTTCCTCCATATTGCTTGAGGCAGGAGTAATTGTGCATATAAGCTGGGTAGCAAGAAAGATGGCATGTGTGAGAAATATGATAATGGCTTGGAAAATATATTCGCTTCAAATCACTCAATTAGATCCACGTGTGAATAAGTGAAGGTTGAAAGTCCCCTCCCTCCCCCCTCATCCCCATCAAATACATATGCACACCAAAAGCAAACAATGTACTCTGAGGTCCCAATGTTTCCGTCCACTTGCTTTTGGGAACAGGGACCAAGAAAATGCGAATAAAAGTGAAAATTGACAAACTTGTCCTCGCTTTATGTATAGTCTATAGGTTTCAGTTAAATAATTGATGCTGGTTTGAAGACAAATAGGCAAATTTTGTGCATTCCACTTACAGAAACATGTCCATGCCCACTCAATGACGACTGTAAGAGGCGGGTAAGCTTTGAGTCTCGATACGGAATATGTGATGCCTTCCCTTCGCTTAACTTTCCAATAACCTAAAGCATTTCAACAGACATGGAACATCACATGTGTAAGACAACAATAACAACAAACCCAGTAAGATCCCAATCATCCCACAATAAGTAGGGTCTAGGGAGGGTGTGTGTATGCAAACCTTGCCCCTACTTGGAAAGAGAGAGGTTGTTTCCAAGAGAGCCCCAGCTCACACAGAGACACATAGCCATAATGTTGTGTAAGAAAACAATATGAACGTAAATAACTCTTTTCTTTTCTAAGAGTGGTAGCCTGAGACACTTTCCCTCTCAACCAAAGCATAAGTTTCAAGGAAAGGAGGGAGAAGGGAGGGGGGCATTCTCGAATGGCATTGTTTGCTCAATGCATTAACAAGTATAAAAATAAGTTACTACCCAGTTATAACATAATCCATATTAGGGCATTTACTGCTTGGTGCTTACAGTTCCAAGAGTCAGAAGACTTTTGTTTATGTAAGATCCTTCCTTTCTCCTCAATCCAGTTGTTTCTGTTTTTGAGCTCTCTGATCCAGCTAAATCAATTAAATTCTAAATCAAAAAAAAAATCAATTAATTGTAGGATGCTGATAGAGTATGGGAGAATCCAATTCAGGGAAACAAATATTATACACTTACAAGTTGTGAAAATATCACTCCATCATAGTCCTCTCCATGGGCACTACTTTCAATCATCTGCAGAAGAAGGCAGTATTTGAATAAAATGCCAAAATGTGGCAAGAAGCGAAGGAAGACAGCAGATTAAAGTTGATTGACAAGAGAAAAAATACATAGGAAAGGAAAAAGAAACGTCAAATGTGATGAAAATAGCCAGTTGTTTCTCTAAATCAAATTCCATTAAAGAAAAATGCCTACAACAAGAAAGAAACACTTACTAATGAAAATATTGTGTGACTGCGGCTACTAAACAGATTAAAATTATTTGAACCGACGTGACGATGCTCTGCATTATAGTACACAGGGTCATATGCAAGAAATTGCAAATCAAATCTATTTTCACTTTTTCAGAATATCAAGATAGTTGATATGGAGTATATCATATATATCACACAGTACCTTCCCCAGCAGCAATGAATGACAGTACATGACCCGGAGACAAAACAACTTCCTCCTTTATACCCTCCACGTAAGTACCCTACACACATGAGGAAATCACGCAGAGTAGAAACATTAACAATAGCAGTGTTAGGCTCCACCATGAATCTCATAGCTCTACAGGCATTGGAAATCAATTCATACTTCTTTTTCATCACATAAAATTCATCAAAGAATATCAAATTTCTGTGTGAGGAGTGTGGAAAATCCTCATACGTGGAAACAAATGTTAGGAGAAGGTTGTGTACATATCGGTGTTCCCTCATGGCAAGGCAGGGAGCACTTGGTGCAACGATGTTGGCCCTTATGGTCAACTCTCAAAGTACTCAAATGGGGAAGGGAATGAAAATAAAATTTAAATTAAGGATGCACCAAATGCAGCCCCACCCCGAAAAAATGTAGGGCACAAGAAAAAAACCTGAGCATCTTCTCTAACACGCAAATTCTGGCCAGTAGGATCAAGCAAGTCGTTGATCACCTAATAAAATGAGAGTGATGATCAGGTGCAGCCTTCACAATTATGTCAGAATATGCAGTAGACCACAAAAAACAGTATGATCGTCTTCATTGGCATGTATGTGCCTTGAGAATGCCTACATTTTTTACTATCACACGAAAAATGTAGACTGCATGCAACAGGAAATGCCTAAGAATTCAGTGTCTCCTACATTAATGCTCTTTGACATGTGCATGCCTACACTTTTTTGTTTTTATGAATACGCTCTGATTTTCACATAAAAAAGTTAATAGGAGGAAGATGCACAAATATGATAAATTGATACTGAACATGAAGCAATAACTTACCTCGTTATATATCTCGATATATGAAACTCGAAGCAAAAATTCACGGCCAGGAGTCTGGAAGCAAATCATTTTAACTCAGAGGAAAAACAAGAAAAAACAAAAGTATGCTCAACGTGAAACACAAATGTGTAGCATAGTACTATACTCTCAGATGCTCAGTATATAGGTATATCACACTGTGGAGAAGAATTGGGATAGAAAGGACATTTGTTCTCGACATTAAATGCAAAATACATCAGTCACTATATTTATGCATCTCATCATGTTAGCTGAATTAAAAAATTGGAGTCAAAATCCCAAGATAAGGTAAATTTTCGAGAACTTACATCTTGTATAATGCTGAAAACATCCTTTATTGCAAGTGGAATTATTCCAGGTGAACTATGATCTCCCTGTTAGAATGTCAAAATCCAACTCATGTGAAATTTAAACTCTTGAGAAAAAGAACACGAGCATAGGGACTATCGTTAAATAGGAAAGATCATATAGGGACTATCGATAAAAAGGAAAGATCATAAGTTTCAAAACAATATAGTATAAACTGATATAGTATGTGCAAGACAATTTTATTTTATTCTATTGCATTTATGTCTTTTGGTGAAAAGGAAATGCAATAAAGCTTTTCTCCAATTCAAACAATTGATTTAATAAGGCAACGCACATGCATAGTATGTGTCTTTCCGCTACTTGTAACACCATAAGCAAATACAGTCCCTGCAACATTAGATATGATGTTATATACATAAACAAATATGTAAGGGTGTCAAACTGTCAATATAATTTCTGTGATAAAAATTGAGTTGATCAGTTCTTTCCATATAGAACCTTCATCCATACAATATATTGCGGCAAAATTCAGCATTGAAGAGTATTGAATTCCATACCGTTTATCCCTTCCATTGCTGCCTTGACCACTGGTCTAGCAGCTACTTCATAAACCTCCTGAGTATGTGTATCAGGTCCAAACACTCTATCTATAAAGTATAAACAGAGTAGCAAACGCATTTATTCATTAGAGCTTGAAACAAAGCCCATTCAATAAATTAAAAGTAGTGCTAGGCCATGATCTCAATTAGGATTAGCAAGTCAACCAAAGAGTGGCTAGAAAAGGTACCGAATGCATAAGCGGTGGCCGGATGATACTCGTTCCTTACAATTTTATCACCTTCTGCATACCATGCGTTTTCATCCCCTCTATGGTATTCCCGGTCACTGGCACAAGAAGTTCCATAATGAATGAAAAAATATCAACACATTGTCTAAAATCTTAGCCAATACAGCACAAGACAGATCTTATCCAATTCAAGCAGATCTAGAACTTACTTCATAGGCCGAAACCTGATCGTCACAGATATGCTGTCACCTGCTCTAGACGTATCCACCTGCTCGGCAAGCAGCTCATCCGCGGACGGAAAATGAACTTCCGTGTGATTTCCGTAACCTCCCGAGTATCCCGAATCACCACGATTCCGCGTTGGCGTCCTGGATCTGGACTTGTGCCCATTACCTGAGCCGTAGAACGACGTCGCCGAGGACGAGCACGACCGAGGCACGATCCTACCGTTCGCCAGAGACGACGAAGACGAAGATGACGAGTACGGACTCGACGGCTTCCGGTGGTGAAACGGCGAGCTGCTCCGTCCTCTTGACGTAGACGCCGCCATCGCTCCCCGACAAAAATCCAAACGGAGACCGGAACAATGATTGCGGGCAGCTGAAGGATGGTGATGAGCGAGAGAAAGTAGATGTCAGAAATCACATGGAGAGAACGTGAAAAGCGAAGAACATTGCGGCCATTCCTTTTAGTCCTTTGAACGCTTTAAGCTTGAAGAAGCTGAAATCGAGCTCGGATGGATGAATCTAAGAACTGGAATTTTTAGAGAGAGAGAGAGAGAGAGAGAGAGAAATGGAAGGCTTCCTTTTGTCTCCTTCAAACACTGGAGTTGCTACAGACAGTCAACAGTTGGAGTGAGAATGACGATGCTTCAACGGAGGTTTGAATTGTTTCTGCAAAGTAAAATTAAAATTAAAATTGAAAAAAAATTTACCGGCTAATTTGCTGTGGTGGGGAATGGAGTGGGGCCCCTGGGTTATTTTGAATGGAACGTGGAGGTGGTAGTGGGGGGTTAGTGCCGTATGGAAGAAACTGGCCCGCGCTTGTGCCGATTGTTTGAACTTTTTGAATCATTGTTATTGAATCGGCCCACCGGTTTTTGGGGTTTTCCGGTTTTTTTTCCCAAAAAGAATTCCGGTTATTATACTCCGTAATCCGTATTACCAAGAAATAAAATAAAATATCTAGCCTTTTTATTTTATTTAAATGCAAAGATATTGATACAAACAATTATTTTTATATTTAAAAACTATTTAAAAATCTCTAAAAAATATAGAGGTAACTAGAATATTTTATTTTATTAAATAATAAATAAATATAAAAATATATAAATAAATAAAAATTTCGTAATTTTTGGATAATAAGTATATTTCTCCATATACTATTAGTGGCGGATCTAAATTGAAAGATAGAAAAATAGTTGAAGGCACATTCTCATAAAGAACAAAGAAAGCACAATAATAGGTTGAGAAATCTCCATTTGCAAAGAGCGTCAAAATGAGAGTTGAGTTCTTAAGTCTCGCTGCTTACGTCTCGGATTTTTTTACTAATTTTATTTTAGCACGTAGACCAAAGAGACTATAATAAAAAGAGAATTTGACCATTTTAATCCTTGCTTTAGAATTACAAACAAAATTTCTTTTATTAATAACAGAAATATAAGTCAATTTGATTGTTAGTCGATCAATAACACAACTCAACTCAAATGAGAACTCTGGTTTAGAAACAATCTCTACATTTGATTAACGATTACACCTCAAAGATCTGCTAGCCATTTTTGAGTTGAGAACCCATTTCATGTTACCGCCATCTTCTTTCCAACCCTAAATCAGGAGAGCAGAAACTTCTCCAGTGTTGTTTTTGAATGCGGCAACCTTATCCTCAAGGCTTTCGATTGTTGCACAATATTCTTAACGATGATTCGTCTAAGATTTGATACATGTCGGAAGCAAAAGATAACAATAAAGTGTGAACAGAGTTAGAGAGATGAAGATTTAATTGGGGGGTAAAAGAGTAACTATACAAATTTTTATTTACTTAAAGAGGAAAGTGAATGAATATACAAAAACAATCAAAAAAAAAGAAAAATGGACAAAAACATTGAGAAGCAAGAAATAAGAAATTTGCATAAAATATTAATATAGAACAAATCATAAAATAAAGAATATTAATTTCAAATACAATTCAAGGTTAAAAAATATAACAATTCCAAAATTAGAGACAACTTTTTTAAATAAAAAAGACTACTTATAGATTCTCCAAAAACATCCCAATTGGACTCGAACTCAAGCCTAGAGGTCATTACAAAAACCGGGGTGTTGCGAGAATCGAACTCACGACCTCTCGCACCCGAAGCGAGAATCATACCACTAGACCAAACACCCGGTTGTTACCAGCTTGTTTTCACATTACAATATTCGCTTCGGCACGTTGCGGATAAATGAATTGTTAATGGCACAGAAAGTGGACGTCAACAAACCCCGGAACCGGAAACCAGCCAACGATGAGTTCAGGAACGTTATCCGGACCGCCTTCCTCCGCCCCGTTGATGATATTCCGCCGCCTACTCCGGCCGACGGCCCCCCTTCTCCTCTCCCTCTGCCCGAAATATCCGGTCCGCCTCCCCGCTCAAAAGACGCCTCTTCTATTCCCCTTCACTCGCCCCCATTTCTCATCTGCAAATTCTCGCCCTTTCTCCTCAAACTCAACACTCCAATCCATTCTACAGCTTTCAAATTCCTCTGAAGGAATCGAGGAAGAAGCTGATTCCCATGGGACGGAGCAAGTTAATATAGCTGAACCAGTAGCTGTTACCATCGAATCTCCGGAAAATCGGAGACTGCATGCGAAGCTTCAGGGACTCACCTTGAAGGAGAAGAAAGAGTTGGGTTCTTATGCAAACAGCTTGGGGAAGAAGCTCAAATCTCAACAGGTCGGCAAATCTGGAGTCACAGCTACTGTGGTGGCCGCCTTGGTTGAAACCCTAGAAAGGAATGAGCTTTTGAAGGTGATTTACCTTTAAGTACAAGGAAATTTTTACTTGTTTAAAATGAGCTTAACTTTATTTAAATATACCGTTTACTGCATTGGACTTATTGGTCGATAAGCTCGCTCATTGGCAACCTGATTGTAGCTATTTATGTTCATCGTTTAGATAGCTTTTTTGAAATGCATAGGAATCCAAAAAAAGCTTTTTACCCAGCATTTCTTGTAGAGATTATTTAACCCTAAAAAGTTCCTTGCAAAATCGTCGTCTGGAACCTTATCAAATCATGATTACTTGCTATTTTTTGCATTTAATCACTGAATGTCTTCAAGGAAGCATACTGAAAAATATGTGATTTCTGTAAGAATATATAACATTGTATAGCCCGGATAATACCCACATAGGCGCTCATGTCTCATTGGTAGCTTACCCTTAGGACGAGTAGTGGAGGAGTGTCATATGTTTGGTTGAAGAACTTTACAGAAGGGGATAGAAGTTGAGGAGCTATAGATTCTTCCAAACCCCTCATGTCCATTTTTCCAATTTGGAGTAAAGGAGCATTTCATAGGAGTTAGGAATGTGTGTGTGAGTGTGTATAATATCTTTTTAACCTGTTTAATCATCATTGTTCCTGCATTTTTATTGTCATGCATATAGATTAGTGTATTTTTACTTACAACAAAAAATATAATTTGTATCAAACACTATTTTAATGCTATAAAGTTTTCTAATATTTTGTTGTAATTTTTTGTCACTCCTTTATTGACCCAAACACAACATCTTTGCAAACTCTCTCACTTTTCTCCATTCTCTCTTTTGAACCATACAAAAGCTATCTTTTTATCGTTTAGGACCTGCCACCTAATTACAGTTATATCCCTCCCAAGTCGTAACTCCTAACCCCGGCCGAATTGGTGCTTTTTACATTTTGAAAATAAGGGTACATGGCAGCATTGCAGGGACTGCATATGAGTAGTAGATGGCTTTCTTTGTTGTGCTCTTATGCAAATGGTGATTATTACTTTTAGGTAACATTTGGTAAGCTGTGATCAGAACCTAATGTAATCAATTGCATGTGCTTACAACTTTATATTAAAAATAGTACTGTAAAATAAACATTTGATTGTACGACATAATGGTTTATCAATGCACATTACTTTCCATGGATTATCTTCTATCAGCTTAAAATACATGGGAGCTGCCCGGGGGAGCTAGATAATGTAGTTAAGCAATTGGAAGAAGGCACAGGATCTGTTGTCGTTGGCCGAATTGGTAGGACTGTGATTCTATATAGACCAAGCCTTTCCAAATTAGAAGCTGAAGAGAAGAAAAGGGTAGCCCAAAGAGCTTCTCCGATCAAAAAAGTCTTGAAGAAACCGGCTAAGGTGTGTCTGCTTTAACTGTATGCATTGTGAAATTTTGGTATCTCAACTAATTTTTGTGACAATTTGGTATCCCAACTGTATAGATATGATGTCGACCAAAGTCCTCGTACTATTTTTTACCAATTTATCTAGCATGACAGCCTAACACTATGCTTGGTTCAAGGATTGCAAAATGGAAAAGAAAAGGAAAGGACAAAGAAAAAAAAATGTGCTGTTTGGTTAGAAAGGAAAATAAAAGAAAATAGGGAAGAAAAGAAAAGGTAAGTAAAATGTGAAGTGAAATTAGAAATGTGATTTTCCTTCCATTTTTATGAAGAAAAAGAAAGATAAGAACAAACTCCTCCCTCCCCCCTCCCTTTCCCCACCCACCCCCAAGACATCCCTCGCCCCACACTCCCCCACCCACCCTCCTATTTGGACAATGTCTTCTTTCATTTTCTCAACAACAATCAAACAAATAAGTTATTAAAAAGTAATTCTCTCGCCAATTTCCCTACTAACCAAACAAGATTAAGCTTTTTGGTTTCTTTGGCTTTCTTTTCCTTTTCTTAGCGTTTTCCTTTCCTCCATATTTCCTCGAACCAAACATAGTGTAAAACTTTTTCATCTTGGACTCACCATCCAATGCTCTTTTAATGCTTTCCCTTTCAATACATTCTTAACTATAACTCTTTTCAAAGTGCCTTTGATGACTGTCACGTGCAACAAGTTATGCCCCCAAAATGATGCCTACACGAGTTGTGTTACCAAACTATAAAATGTTCCACTTATCAAATTTTTCATCGTAAAATTTGCAGGAGACGGGAGTAGAGGCAAGACCATCACACCGAGGTCACAGAGGGAGTAGCAGATTTAAACCGAGGTCCCTAGGTACGTCCCTAACTTGAATTGGGATACCCCATCAATCCCTATCTGGGTCAAGCCTGAACAACAGGTAATGTATGTGGTGACAAGGAGTAGCATTTGGGATTTATAACACTTCCAATAGCTAAGAATATGAGATGGTTGTGTTCCTCATTCCATGTCAAAGTTTCCAACCACACCGGGGATTAGCCGCTCTTCTTAATGACTGTAATCAACCCTAATCGGCGAAGCGTATGGCATTGCAAATGAGATGTATGCTGTCGGAAGAGCACAAGGTAGTGAGGGCAAATGCATTTGAATGGATTTGTTGTGTATGCCAATTTTTGTACCACATATTTACATACCTGCTATTTTTAGGCAAGAATGTTGTGGATGACATCATGGTGAATTAAATCTTGAATTGGTTGTTCGTTATAAGAGCACTGGGTATACTCCTCACGCCCACCGGCGTTACGGGGCGTTAAACGCCCCGGGGGCGTGAAACACCGCCCCCCGCCGGCGTTAAACGGGCGTGAGGAGCGCTGCATCATTCGTTTGACGCGGCGTGAATCGTTCTCGGCGCCCTCCTAACGGCATTTTTAGCCGTTGCAGCCAGATTTCAAAAAAAAAAAATTCCTATAAATTCAACCCTCCCCAACTAATCTCTCACACCTTCTCTTCAATCTCTTCTTCTTTCTTATTTTTAAATTTCAAAATTCAAACCCCTCCTCCCAATTTTGAACATGAATCCTTCCGGCTCCGACTTCTTTCCCGACGATCTCCCGCCCGTCGACGCCGAGATGTGGCATTACCAAGAGTTGGGCGATCGACCGCCGATGTACGAGACGCAACAACCGGGGTACGTTGACTGAGATTCGGTTCTAGAGACTCAACCGGAACCGTCCGGATCGAAAAAAAAGTACACGCCGGAGGAGTCACAAAGCCAAAAGCACGTTGACCGAGGTGGCACGGTCAATCCAAAAGTGGACGCCGGAGGAGGAGTGCATATTGGCGTCGGCTTGGGTTGACGTCTCCGAGCATCCTATCATTGGTAAAAAATTTATTTTTTCTAATATATTTATGTTTTTATTTATATATATTATATTTAATGGTGTCTGAAAAAATTGTGTAATACATTTTTAAAGGTAAGGAGCAAACGATCAATGCGATGTGGGATCGTATCGAGGAGAAGTTCTTCACGGCGATGAAGAAGGACGGCTCCTGCCGAATCCGGGACCAACTCACTTCCAAATGGGGGCACATCAACAAAAAAGTCCGAAAGTTTATGGGAGTATACGAGGAATGCTTCCGGTCCTGGAGGAGCGGCACGAACGACGCCGATGTTCTCCGGCTTGCCACGACCCGGTATCAAGACGACGGGAACCAAGGCAAGGTGCCCATCGATCTTTGGAGGATTTTGAGTCGTTCCCCGAAGTGGCAACAACTCAACAATCCCGACGGCGGATCGTTCCAGAAAAGATCCACCGTCGACGCCGAGGTTGAGGTCGACGAGACCATTGGTTCTACCGCTCAAATCCCTTCCTTCAACGTTGCGGCTTCCGATGACGAGGACCCCATTCCACGGCCGATCAGAAGAAAGAAGGCAAAATCCATTGCCTCTGGTTCGGGAGGGTCCGCCTCTGTTTCCGCTTCTCCCCGTGACGAAATCGGCCTGGCAATGGTTGAACAATTTCGGGCATTCAATCTCTAAGAACAGGAGAGGTTGAAGCTTAAAGAGAAGGAGTTGAAGCTAAAGGAGCAGGAGGTCGAGATGAAAGTCATGCAAACCGACCCCGGGACGTTGTCGGAGTTTGGACGAATTATCTACGAGCAAAGAATGAGAGAGATCAAGGAGAAATATAATTTACCTTAGTTTTTTTATTAATGTATCTTTTTTTTTAAATTATTGTCGCTTTTTTTATTTAATTAATGTGTTTTTTATTATTCGTGTTTCAATTTAATTAAATAATAAATTAAGTACATTTTATTAATTTAATTTTAGAAGATGTATATTTAAAAATGTAAAAAATGAAGGTTTGAATCCCAATTTTGAAGCTCCGGGGCTTCAAACTCATTTCCAGTGAATTTTGAATGTAAGTTAAAGCTGACGTGGCAGAGAGAGAAAGTTTGAAGCCCCGGTTTGAAGCCATGGGGCTTCAAACGTATTACCAGTGCTCTAAGGAAACAACAATTAAATAGAATGTGGGACTATATCAACCCCACTCAGATTGACTAAATTGGCTAAATGCCTGATTCTACCCTACCTCCGAAGAAAAACACGAAAAAATACAGAGTTTTTGAGACATAATTATATTTTCAGCATTTCACTATAATACTTGTATATACGAAAATTTCTCTCCCTTTTAACAAGAGATAAATATCACACTCATACATAGATCTCTTGTACTACGTATCTAATTCGCTACATTCAACTATATATACATATCAAGAATTTATTGGTTTTGGCTCATAATGATGGTGTACATGATTGAGAGAATTCAATGAAGTCCCAAATGGGCATATTGAACATGAGAGATGTGCTACTTGTACATCACAATGGTACATTAAAGTTTTGTACTAACATAAAATACAGAGCAATACTGGCATGATACTGACATTATGTCAACGTTATATTAGTATTTTGTGATAGTGTAAAGTTTCGGTGTACAAAATGATATACAAATGTGACATACAAATATCATTATTATAAACATAATACTGTAGATAATTATCAAAAAAGAAACTGATTATGAAGGAAGTAACTGATAATAATACTTCATTGCTCCATCGGCATATATGCATGTGTGACCATGGAGTTTGGCAAATACTCCGTAGTCAACAATAGTAACTAGTACCTTTTTCTTGCACACAAATACATGTTACAATTTTTCTTAATAAAAACGCTTTTAGCTTTTTTTCCAATAATATTTCAACAATTTATAGATTTTATAAAATGTAAGGGATAGTTTTTGTGTTTTTATCTTCCCATTAATGAGACTTGTTTGTGAGCGACTTTTTTTTGACTTATTAGGTAACTAAATATCTTTAACTTTTCATTTACATATTCTATTGAGGTCAATCAGTCCCATCTCGAAAAGAAATTCCAGCTTTTGTTTTTCTTCCAATTAATCGTAATTACTCTGAGGTAATAAATATATTTCTACTTGCGTCCTCTACAAACAACTCAGTCGTTGTAGTATAGTGGTAAGTATTCCCGCCTGTCACGCGGGTGACCCGGGTTCGATCTCGGCAACGGCGATATTTTTTTCCTTCGATGAGTTCTTATCACTTCATTCGTTGCTCATTCCATAATCCACTGTATAGTTTAATTAATTGTAAGAATTCCGGGTTTTCGATTCCTTCCCCATTCCCCCTCCCCTTTTTTTTGAAATTATTTTTTGTATTTTGGTGCTCTGTTTATTATACGATATTCATGTTAATTGAGTAACACTTCAAACGATAATTAAGTATGTAAACTAGTACATTGTTAAGGATACATAAAATAATAGATCGATACAGAGTATAAGAAACATGATCTCTTTGATATAACTAGTACATTGTTATATGAAAGTGCAATTTTTAATTAAGTATGTTTAGATGTATGTGTAGTTTATTATCTTGCATACTTGGGTAATCAGAAAAAATATTTATTCTAATTACTCGCATAGCTATGTTGTGTATGTTATTTAAACATCATCATTATACTGTACGATTACTTTAAATGAATTAATAGGAGTTTTAAAATTAGGGACATAACACGATCTTGTAAATAAAAAGAAAGTATTTCGTACATGTTAAATATATGTTAAAATACATGCTTTCCTACTAGCATAGTTTACATGTTAAGATACGATCGTGAAGATTATGATTTGAGTATGATCATATAAGCGAGTTTTTAATCAAGGATACATAAAATAATAGATCGATACAGAGTATAAGAAACATTATCTCTTTGATATAACTAGTACATTGTTATATGAAAGTGCAATTTTTATTTTATTAATTTACTTATTTAAAATGTTAATGGTCAATTTTTGAGAGGCTTGAGATTTACTCGCTGCAAGGCACTGTGTTGTTTTCTTTCTCGATATTATTAAATGTGCACAATGCATGCCTTTCAATTTAGTTAAAATGTCTCAAAAGTCATAATAATCGATTAATTATGAATATATACTGTAGAGCAGATACTTTTCATTGGGGTCAATGGATGCTATGTGTTTGATCTCAATGGCGCATTATTTTTTCTATGAACTAGATGTCAGTCAATAATTTGTCTAAAATATACTGAGTAAAAACTAAAAATCTAACAGAATAACACCAATTTTAAACTTTATTATCAAGTGTACAATGTACGTAATACTCCCTCCGTCCCATTTTAAATTGCCTGTTTGCCTTTTTTTCTCCGTCCCAAAATAAGTTGCATGTTAGTTGTTTTCGTAAACTTTTAAAAATAAAATACCTAAACTACCCCTAAAATAAGCCACTCTTCTTCACCTTATCTTCTCATTCATCATCACCCCTTCTAAAAAGTAATGGCAATTTCGGAAAATCAACTCTATTTTTTATTTTCCTTAAATATGCCCAAAAATCAAAACAGGCGATTTAAATTGGGACGGAGGGAGTATATAATTTCAAAATAACATAAACCTATTTGAGTTAATAAAAAAGTATTTAAAAATATTAAAAGTACTCCTACTATAATTTGTAAAACAAGTAAAAAAGAAAAAAATTGACACGTAAATAGTATTTGTAACTTTAGTTTTGGAGCACAAAGAGAAACTTGTTGTTCTCCTACTTTCAACTTTCAAGCAGAAGCAAAGTCTTTCATATACACACACAAATTCCGCATTTTACTAGGTTTATTGTTCTCACTAAACCATTTGCTCTTTCAAACAAGACACAAATTTTATTTATTACGGAGTATATGAATTATAAATATAATGCTGTTAATTGATACACCATGCTAGATTTCAAAACCCCAAGCAAGAAATAGTAGAACTCTAAATTATTATTCGGCCTAATTTCAAAAAATCACAATAAATAATAATAATAATAGCAACTAAAATTACAATCTAATCTACCTATATTTTAAAAAAATCACATCTTTTCGCACATTTTCACGCTTGCATTACAAAACACTCAAGAAACAAGTAGTAAATGCACAAGAAAATGCAAAGAGGGGCAAAATTGGGGGAAAGACTGAAAGAGGGAGGATTGGCTTAGAGGGGTGGAATAACCTTGCTAGCAAGAACTCTTTCTCTTCTCTCTATATAACTGAAGGGGAACCATCCTGCTTTACCCTTGCATTCACCTTCTGCCCAACCATTGCTTGAAACCTGACAATTCATGTGTTTTAACCATTACTCTATGATCTCCGCCTAGGGTCCTGCCCAGACAACATGCCCCTACAATCCCACAAAACGTAGGGTTGGTGGAGGGTATGTAGGCAAACCTTACCCTTACTAGGATATAGAAACTGTTTCCAAGAGATTACTGGGTTAAAAACAGAAGTACGGACAAAGAAAGAAACCATAGCAACACAAATGAGGAAAACGCAGACAAAAGAAACACACAAGCCGACTCCAGCAACTAGGCACTAGAGTTTAGTCTACTGCCTAGGGTGCTCTTTAGAACAACACCAATAAGTGCATAAAGACTTGAGTTCAAATCACAGCAGGTACATAAAAATTCAACACCGTTTGGTTTGAGCATTGATGAATAAAAAAAAAAAGAACATGAGACTAAAAAACCAACCTTTCGAATAACAACACAATCTCCAACTGATAAATTAAGCTCCACATCAGATTCGGCATGATGTGGATATACCACCTAGCACCAAAGCAAAAGAGAAAGAAAGATAAGACAGATTAAGGCTTCGTTTGTCTCTGAATTGTGATGTGTTTGCTACAAAAAACATTTTCTTGAAGGAAATTTTTTCCCTTGATTCTTTAGGGTATGTTTGGATCACTGAAAAATGGTGTGAGGAAGAAGAAATACCAAATTGTTTTTTTATGCTGCATATCAGGATAACCTTGGAAAACCAAAAGGATAACGAATTATTATTATCTTTTGTAAATGATAACTATTAAGGAGTATATTCATAAATTTGTTAGTCATTACCATATAATAATCCCTCCGTCCAATAAATTTATTTCTTGGTTTGACTTAGCTTGCTTTTTCATAAAATAGAAATTGTGTCACCAAAAAATTTATTTCTAACCATAAAATGAGAACAAATCTTTGGGACAACTCAAATAGGAAAACAAGGAAAAGACTACGGGACCTTGTATATTGTAGAAGACCAGTTCAAAAAGGAAGCCATTTTCCTAAATAAATTGCTTTTATTTTTATAAGTTAAAAAGTACTTGTATATTATACGTATACCCACTTAATTTCCACAAAAAATAAATTTTCAAGAAAACATTTTTCACTTCAACGGTTCAACCTGAGTCTAAGTACTCACAATGATGTCTAGAATTTCTCCTTTTAAAATTGGAAGGAAGAGAAAACAAAAATATTACTTACTTCCCCAAGAAAGTAGCCCATGCTATCAGTCGAACCATTTTGCATAGGAGAAGTCGACACACTGTTTGCTTCTTCATATGACGGAGGCGGAGGAATATTATCTACTTTAGAAGAATCTCCCACCCTTTCATGCTCCAATTTCATCTGAATTATTATTAAAAAAAGAAGGCCATCAACATCCTTATTACCTTATGAAGTTCAAGTGGTGGTTAGAAAAATGATACAATCAATACCTCCCCTTCTAAATGTTCAAGTATCTGAAGAACTTTAAGATGGTAAGCACGTTCAGATTCAACCTAACAACAGTGGAAAAGCTAACATTAAATACTGCCTTTTCTGATAATCTTCCTATCTTTTGCTACTTCAAGTAGACACAGAATCAGCTACCATGGCAATTAGCCGCTGCAGTGTCAACTTCTGTTGTTGTGCTTCAACAGCAGCCAGAGCAGAAGCAGCTTCCTTCCCCAGAATAGTCATATTGGACTTCAGATCTTGTAATTTTGATTCTGCTGCTTCCAGCTTCATCTCCATGTCATGATTGCCTGTTGTCTCCCTAAGTTTTGCTTGTCGTTTGGATATTTCAAGGATCTATCTAGGTTAGATGCAAAAAAGAATTACATATTATTGAGCCAAATATTTTCCTTCCAAATGAAGAGTGGTAGAACAAACACATGTAAATACACTTATTGAATTTGAGCACATTACTTACTTTCTTTCTCTAGTATTTCCAAGTTCCAAATGGAACCTGGGGTTTAAAGGCAAGAGAGTGTAGAGAGGAAATCCAAAAATTCCCCACTAGTGTTCATAGGCAGTCAATCCAGAGTCCAGACAGGGGCGAGCAGAAAATATTTACCCCCTTTAAAAAAGTTTGCATTCACACACCCTCCCCACTAGTGTTATTAATGGGTTTTGTTGTTGTAACTTGTTAGAGTAACGTCAAAAGACCAGACATAACATCTTTTCCAATGTTCATTTGAATACCTGTGCTTCTGTCTCTTGGCGCATTCGATCATATTTGTGAGCTAGATTTCGTGCGTCTTCCAATGGAGCCCCCATTACCATAGCTCTTAACGGATCTGCAACCTGATAAACAAGACACCGACCAACTTTTTATTGTTCTGATGGCAAAAAGGATTAACAACAGAGTGAAAGTTTAGGAAATAAATGAAAACATTAATGAAAAATTATATAAAAAAGACCACTTTAGAAAGTTCAACCTCACCAACTAGGTATCATAAGCTCCTACAACCTTGAAAATCTTTTACTCTCCATCCCAAAAAGAAAGAGGGACATGTTTGGACATAATGTAATCAGTATTAGAAATAATAGTGATATACTAATTAACCTTTGTTCCAAGGGATCTAAGGAGATTCCCACGTTCCTTCTCCATATAAGCAAGAGCTTGTGAGAAACATAATGCAACTCGTGATAATGTAGTAGCAGTGGTATATGTGTTTCCAGACCCATATTTCTTGCAATCTTCTGATAGTTTAGTTCCTGTGAGAGAGCCATTACATCTTGGATTATGAAAACACTACACTTGTGAAATGTGGAACCTAAACAAGGATAAACCCTTGAAGATTTGAATGATGACCTATCTCAACCAGTTTGGACCCAGTAAAAATGTAGCCTTCAACTCCACGAACAATGTCCCTTTGTAAATGCTGAAACGCCGATTGACAAACAGACGTTTTAGAACAACCAAATGAGTGGGGCAATATAATATAATGAGGAGATCAATATCAGAGAGGTATGAACAGAATAAGACTGAAGGAGTAGATACTATATCCACAGAATGCAGCAAACCTTGGCAGCTCTGGTAGATAAATAAAGCAACTCCAGTTTCTGATACTGGAAGAGTTCGGCTTCATCAGTAACAATATAATCTGAGCCACCATACCCCCCACCTCCAAACTGCTTGAGTACAGCCTGCAACAAACACAGAATGCCAAAGATAAAATTAACTTAACTATTTAAAATATCACCAACTCCTATCCCAGATCAGTAGCACCAGAGAAAAGATCACGCATTTGGAATACGGATTGGTGTAGCAAAACTGCGGATTGACGAAATTAATCATGAATGCACATAAAGCATCACATTATTCAAACAAAAAATCGTAGTGCTCAAATGCAATTCCTATTGTAACAGTTTCAAATATCACCCTTCCCTAAGACCTGATCAAATTACCACTCTGTAAAAAAACAGCCACACACATTCATATCCCGATGCAGAGATAACTAACTTCAAATAAAATTTAAAAAGTTGAAAAAATAAAAATCACAAGCACCCATACATTCACCTCGAATGGAAAAACACCAAAAAAACGTATAATCTGAATCCACGGGAAATATAAACGATAACACAATTTGACAATTTGCATGGATACAACATCAGCTGATACAGAAAAATGGATTCAGGAACGAATCACATTGCGAGTTTGCGACAGATAAACGCGAAATTGAAGAGCAGTGTGATCATGAAGAAGGAGAAAGCGTATTGAAGCGGCGGGATCGTACTTGCTGCTGACGAACAACCTGTTCCCTGAGCCACGAGGCTTGCCTTTTGATTGCTTCCATTCAGGGAGGGATTCCGATGAAATTCAATGCCGTCTCCGATGAGTTATGAACGGCGGTAGGATTCTGGTTTTAGGTGACCTGGAGATTTTGCGCAAATTACAGAGGCGGAAGCCATGTGCCAATGTATTTAGAGAACATTGAAAACATTTTCCATTTCATACCACTCCATTTTGGGCTATAGTGTTTAATCACTTTTGGATAATTTTTTAATACCAATTGTATATATTAATATTAAAATTTAAAACATTAAACCTAATTAGATAAGAAGTAATATTTTTAAAATGTAAAAAATAAATACGCTAACTCGTATTATTGTCAAATACATACTTTAATATGGATCAATAAATTTCTATTTTAGATATTACTAAAATTATTTAAGAGTTTTATGTGTTCTAATGAACTGAAATTATATCACATTCTCTTTCCTTGCCCGCAAACACCCACTTCCATCTTGTTCCCCTCCGCAATCACCACATGACATGCTCAATATGTACAGTGAAATTATATCATTACACCCAACCAGTGTGTATGTATTTAGATTAGATCTATGAAACTCATACAATTTGTAAGAGAATCAAACTCACATGAAAAAGGTTGGCTAACTCGATTTGGAAGTCAAGTTTAGAGTATGCCAAGTGGTAGGTCATGGAGGTACATAGGATTAAGAAAATAAAAGTGATCTCCACGATCTCCCTCACTCTCCCGTGCTCTACCACGATCATGAACCGTGTTTGTTGTCTCTCAAGGATATGAGAGACAACCTTGAGCGGGGGGGGGGGGACAATATCTTAATTTATATAAATGTAACCTTTCTAGCATGAAGAAGGAATTAAATTCTTGAAATGCAATGCGGATATTACTATTTTCATTTCTCTCATATTGCCTCACGTCTATTATTCAAATATAATTAATACAGAGTACGTTGTAATTGTGCATTCTTATATTTGTTTCTCATTTTTGCAAATACTAATTCACAACTCTTGCCCCCATATTTTAGTGGTGTTAGTGGGTGTTACCCATTGATGTATGTCTTTAGTGCACATCGATTAATTCTCATTGTCGAATTTATTGTCGTTGACCATTGCATTACTACATTTAATTCTCATTGTCGTTGTTAATGTCTACCGTCATAGCAACATTGCAAGTTCTAGAAACAAAACACTATAATATCAGAAACTTTAATATACATTTTTTTTGTGAGTTTTGAGCTTATTGTTCCCCTTGTGAGTGAGTTCTTAGCTTATTATTACATTTCCTTTGTAAGTTCTCAAGTTATTAACATCACAATCTAATTTTCCTTTCTATCAAGAAAGTTAGCGTGATTGAAAACAACATATTTGTATTGGTTCTGATCCAATTAAATTATGAATTAAGGGCTTGTTCTCTTCAACTTATTTGATTTATTCTGATCTGATTTAATTAAATTCTGATCTAATCTAATCAGATTGTAGTCATATTTAAAGTTATTCTTTATATAATCCGATTCCAATAAAAATAAGTACCTAGTAAAAAAAATAAGTTAGAGAAAACAAGCTCTAAGTCAAACCAAACCACACATACCTCCCATAACACAATAATAGTGTTTGTATGATAAGTGAGTTAACACCAAAATGGATACACAACGGTTTAAGGCATTCAACTGTAACACTAGTTCTCACCACAAATTTCGAGGACCAAATGACAATCAAAGCAAGAATTGCAAAAAAAAATGATGTGCGTTTAACCCAAGTTAAGAGGATTACAATTGTTCTTGTAAAAAAGACATTGAGGATTAAAATTGATGTGAAAAAATATAAGTTGCGAGGATTACAATTGTTTTTTCCGAACTTTGAAATTCGCTACTAATAAAAGTGAGAGATTACAATAGTTCCAGAAGAGGGGATTTAAAAAAATCTCAAGCCCCAAGTATGAACTATGAAACATCAAATTCTAAACCATTACCTTTTCTCCAAGGCACGTCCCGCAATGGGCTCAAAGAATTGCCAATTCATTCCTTAGGGATCACAAATATACACGAGCTACGGCAAGGCCCACTGCAGAGATGGACACAAGTGTTCCGATGCAATATTTGATTACTTCATACTTTGCTGCTTCAAGTTGAGCCCTCAGTTCTTGGATTTCCTGTTCATGAATCATTTCACTCTTTTAAACACAGAACATATATATATATATATATATATACACACACTCCATCCACCACAGATTACGTGTCCTTTCACGCAATGAGTCAAGATGATATGTTTTCATATCATTACTTGTTATATTTAGTTTAGTTTGTAGTTTCTGCTTGTGCATTTTTATGCCTTAGTATGTAACATGTGCTTGTGTGTTTTTTGCCTTTATGTCTACTTTTTAGAGTCGGCTTGTGTGCTTCTTTTGTCTGTCTCTCTAATTTGTTTGTGCTTCAATGCTTCCTTTGTACTTCTCTAGTTCTGTATCCAAGACAGGGGGGGGGGGGGG